AATCCTTTTACTTTTCATTTCTGTATTTGATTTATTTTTATCAAAACTGTTATACTAATTGTGCCTTAAATGGCCAATGGATTCTCTATTGTTTCATATAGCTGGGTTCTTGTGTCTTTTATTGTTTCTTTGTCTTATACTTTTAGTTTGAGTTCTATGAAATCTTTTTTGATTTCTTGAAGGCAAATCTTTTAAAAATAACTTTTTTATTAATAAATAACTTTTACCAGAAGAAAAGAAAGGACTTATTGATTTACTGTCAAATAATGAGTTTATAAGTATCTTATTGTCTATTTTAATTTTTCTATTTTATGTTATAGCTTTTTTCCTTTCTGTACCAGGGATTTTCTCACTTTCTAATACAATATTCTTTACATTCCATAATAGACATAACCCATGCAAGATGATATATTGTTTACAGGATTTGTTGAGGACTTTTCTTGTTGCAAAGTGTATGACTATAAAGTTCTGTTTCTTTAATGTAAAAGAGTTTCTTGGAATATAATATATCTTCACTTCTGTACTATTGAGTGTCCTGGCTATTAAACTTAAATAAATCTTATTAGTATCTAGTAGTCTTGTAAAGTTTTGATTTTTTTCTATTACAATAATATTAATCTTTTTATCTATTTATTTTTTCTTGAAAAAGATAGTCCTAATAGTTTCTGCTCCTAGAGAAATCATTCATATGATTTCTGGATTTATTTTTCAATAACTATATTAATTAATACTATATAAGCCTTGATCCTTGTTTTTGTTTTAATCTTGTAGATTACAGTATATATTTTGAATTTCACTATATCTTTTTAAGATATTCTTTTATAAAGTGATAAGGAGTTTTGTGTTCTATATCTATCAGACTAATATATTATATATCTTCTTTCTTTTTTTCTTTTATTGATTGGAAAACTTTTTTGTCTAATATTTCCATATTTTGTATTTGATTATTGAGCTTATTTTTGAGCTGTTATAAATTAAAGACCTCTTATTTTCTATTTACTTCTTCTAAACACTTGAAGAAATCTTCTTTTTCCTTTAGATAGAAATTTAACTATTTATTTTTATTAATAAATTCTTTTAGAAGAAACTTGTACTTTTTTTGTAGCAATTTCAATATGTTACCCAAATATACTTTGATCTTTTTTTCATTATTACCTGAAATATTGACTGTCATTGCTCCTACTTTATATTTACTCTTTTTATTTATAAAATAGGGGTTTAGTGATGGAACTGTTTACCTGTTTCTTGTTATATAGAAGTTATACTTATTTATATTATAGCTTTGAACTTTATTTTTGAATATTTCTGCTTCTATCTTTTTTTGTTCTTGATTTTCTATTATTGTTATTTCATTGTTTAGTGTTGATTCATTTTCTACTTCAGTAATGATCTTCATTGGCATGAGTTGTATTTTTTATGACTTTTCCTTAATTATATTCAAATATTTATTTTCTATATAGAATTGAAGCAAATTTTTCTTCTTTTTCTTTTTTTTATGTCAAAAATGGATGATATGTTGTATAGGAATTCATTTCTTGTAAAATATTATTTTATCTATTTCTAGGATTTTAATAATGATACTATTCAGTATAATACATATTTCTGAAGCAATTACCATTATATCATTATGAATAGTCATATCTTTTTATCAAATAATTTATTATGTAACCCCTAATTTTCTTGTTTTATCATGCTTCTTTGCTAATTGAACTAGTGTATTAACAATACCTTCTTCTCTTTTATTTATAATTTGAAGTATTTGCTTTGATTTATTTATGATAGCTCATATGTATGAATTGATATTACTGTTGTGTAGTTGTATTATATTATAAATAATCATATATTCAGATTAATTCTTGTCCTTCATATTATTTTAATGACTATTATTAAGCTTGTTAGTCCTGTTTTAATGTGGATAGAACTCATGTTATTGTTTATTATTTGATACAAGTGTTGTTTTACTTGTTTTGATTAGTTTATTATCTGTATAAGAGATGTCTTAATAGCTTGTTGATATTAATCACTTGATATTGTTTTATTATAATCATTAATCTTAGTAATATAAAGTTTTGTTGTGCTTTTATAATAGATCTTAATCAAATATGTTTTGAAAGCTGACTCTTATATGTGTACATGTTTGCATTATCTAATAATGTGTTTTGATGTTGAAGAATTGAAATTTTGTATATTAAGTTGTTTAAATCTTGAAAAACTTTGATATCTTTCTGGGCCTTGGAGAATTTGAGATTATTTGATTTATCAAACTGATCTATCTCTTTTCAAAGTTTCTTGTGGTATCAAGAAAGGTGTTAACCTATATTGGCCTGATTACAAGATTTGTGAAGTTAATATTGGCGTCTTTTTTTTTGACTATGAATTAATTATTATTTGTTTGGTTTCTTTTCTATTAAGTGAGAAAATAAAGTAACTGGTGAATATACTATATATTAAAGTCTTCAACTACTGGCTAGTTTGAAGTATTCAACACAGTGTTATCTTGTATTGAATTGTCTTTTTATTTTGTGATATTGTTGTAAGAATATATTTTTTGTGTTTTATATTATTTTTTTCTTTTGAGTAATTTCCTAAAAAAGAAATTTTGAGGATTTGAAGATTTCAGGAAAAAGTTTTTTTTTAACATATTGATGATTTATTATACTATATTCTATAATATAAATATATTGATTTGTTAAATTATACAGAAAAATAGATTAATAATTTATTTTATTATCAATTTACTAAATTATATAGTAAAAATACTATACATTGATTATTTATTTGTGTTATTAATTTGTCAAATATTTACTTTTTTGATCAGTGTTATTTGAGCGATATTATTATTTTTTAGTTTTAACAATATATAAAATATATAGTATATACAATAAATAAAAAGATTTGATAAAACATATGTAACTAACGATAAATATACAATTTTTTAAAATTATAATAATAGAATTAAAATAGCTCAAAGGTTTTTTTAATAATAAATTAATATATCATAGCATGAACTAATCTATAAATAATAAGACATTTTACAATTTTTATATAATGGTAACTTTATAAATTTATGATTAGACTGAATCGACTGAATAGAACTTGTTAATTTTGATGACACGGGTTTGTAAGTTCGATACGAACGGCTTCAATTAAAATGGCATCAGTGAATCCAATCGAGGTTCTAATTTGATATGAAATGGTGTACCATTTATTTAATACAAAGTGTAATAATATACGATAACTTTGACTATATACTGTAAATCAAATGTAAGAAAATTGAAATGGTTTTTGATATATGAAAATTGCCAAATAACAATAAGAGACCGTCCAGACAGTGTCCAGTTGTTCAAATCTATTAGATAAAAAAGTATTTCTTAGCACCGCTTCGTCACGAGTCTACATTAAGATAAGAATTATCTAAAATCGTCTATAATAATTACTTTATTCTATGCATCAAGGAATAAAATCTTAAAATCCGTCACTTTTTCTTCCTTTCGTTTGACCCTTTCTTTCCTTTCCGGGAAGTCACATTGACTTCGACGTCACCCTTATTATTCTTCCACATCTTACTCCAATCCGCATTCCATAATTGTGAAAATAATTGCAGGTTCAAAGCGTTCATCGCCACCATCCCTATAAATGCTGCTCTCCAATGAGACTTATGTCCAAATATTAAATGCTCGTTCCATACTCTGATCAATAAATACCCTTGCACGAGTATTCTGGCAAATATAAATGACAAGAAAAGAAATATAGAATTATAATAATAGAACGGAGTAGATTTCGTTCGGTATGATGTAAGATAAAGTTTGCGTTGATGTAGAAAGATGTTGCTCATCTCCACCAGCAGGTTTGCTGCCAAGTATGGTGCATATTTGCAGGTTACTATTGAGCTTAAAAATGTTGAACACACCTTTTTATAAAAGATTTAGAAGAGGATAAGTAGACGTGATTGGAGAATTAAGAAATTTGTCGATTGACATACCACAACGTGATGGAACCATATTCCAGGAGAGTCCATGAAAATGTTCTTTATATAAAAATCAAACATGTCAGCAAAAAAATAACCTAGTTATATTCCAAATAAACCAATCATCAAATTAATCGAACCACACGCGCGCATAGTCATTTAAATATAATGCGCATTTACTATTAAATGCGTGCAGAAAAAAAAATACCGATTGAAAGAGCGATTTGAATTTTAAACAAAGATATATCCGTATAGATCATGTCATTCCACGCATGCGGATAATAATAAAAGCTAAAGCAACAAGGTTGATCAATATACGGTGGTGTATATATTTGGGAAATGAAAGGGTAACTACCATAAAGGAGTGATTATTGAGCAAATCCATGCATGTATATAACTGACAAATGTATTGTCCCATATTGATTTTTTTCTTTCGTCCAAGTTATTGTAAAAAGTCTGAAAAATTTAGTAAAACATTTTCAGAAAGATATTATTAATATTGGACAGGGATAGTAGCATATAAAAAAAAAAAAAAAAATACTCACTGTAACCGAAGCAGCACGAGACGAGACATAGTTTAATATAGTGAAGCCTACAAAAGAGTAGCCTGTGATTCTTAACGAGTCTGTTGCGCAACTGTCCATTAATTAAATCTTTGGGAAATAAATCAACGTATAGTATAGTAGATTCACTTATACGTTTTTTTTGGTCCGTGATCTGCAAGATCAGTGCCAAAATAGGATGGTCTCCCGGGTGCCATCTCAAGTTCCTATAATTTCCATCTTCGTATTTGTTACACTTGAAACTTCCTTCTCCTTTGATATTAAAAATTTCATCATCGTATTTATCAAGGAAAAATTGTATATTTTTAGGCATTTCAAAATTTATATGATTAATTGAATTCAGCCATCCGATCGGAAAGTCAAATATAGAATTCATAATATATGCTGTGTATATAGTCAAACTTTTCCAATATAAAACTTGCCAATAAGATTGTCTGATCCGCGAAAGAATTTTTCCATTGGGCAACAGCATGAATGATTTAAATAATGTGCCAGATACGGAGGACACTGAAGATATGGAAGATATGGGGAATGCTATAGACGATGATGAAAATATGACTCATCAGAGGAAAGAAAAGAAAATTGTAAAGAGCGAATTCAAGCACGAAGGTATTAAAAAGAAGATTCCTCATAATGGTGCTTGATATCACGCGATTTGATAGCTCTTACTTGTTCAGAACTACGAGAAATCGGTTCACTGGCAATATTTTCACTTTCAAGCTGGAAGGCCGGTAATGGCGTTGAAAACTTGCGAGATAATAACTTGATGACATTTTGGCAGTAGGATCTATTTATTATGTCTAAAATCCATTTTAAAAATTGGAATAATAAAAAATGACTTTTTTTAGATCAGATGGCACTCTACCCCACCTCGTCAATATTCAATTTCCTAAAAAGGTTTCCGTGGTGGTAATGTACAGTCATTGCTTTTTCAATTATCGATATAATAATTCATTAATCTAGAATGACTTAAAACAAAAAGCTTTACTTTATATTGCTATAATAGCAAATTTCACTTTGGATTGATTACAAGAATGACGAAAGTTATACGCCAAATAAGATAGTTGTTAAGGCTGGAACAAATTTTGGGGACTTACAAGTATAAAATATTCACCATGATTATCAAAGTATCTTAAATATTCTTCTTTAGTCTAACGCTTGATCATGATTGAGTAGGACTTGCGGACAGTTGAACTGGAAGATCCTTACGGATGGGTTGATATTCAACTAAGTGGGGACCATACATTAACGTGCGTGTATTATATTAAAAAATTTTTATTTTTTTTTTGGTTTTATGATAATTATTATCAATATTTAAGCATTTCAATGGGATAATTGTGATGGAACAGCAAAACAAGTCGTCCAGTATGTGCACATCTCTTTCAAATCTCAATTAAATCCAATCTCCAAAATGGAAAGGATACTCATATACGGCAAATTAAAGTGTTTTCTCCGAGACTGTTTGTATTTGCAAATTATTATGGTCTTTTAACGCAATCGCAAAAGGTTCTTATTGAAAATTTTTTATTTTAGTTTGAAAAGTCCTGCTTTCGGTAATGATGATTCTGATGACGATATACCATTTTCTACATTGGAGTTTGCAATGCATGAAACCATACGATAAAAATAGGCATGTTTAATAATAAATTCAATTTATACATTGTGCTCCATTAGCTACTTTATCCAGCAAAGTTAACGTTTTAATAATCCAGCGGTGATAGCTGGAACAACGTCTTGACAATCGTTGTTGCTCCCAATGGAAAGCTCCTCTATCAATTTTCTAACCAAGCGAAATTCTTTCGGGAACAGTTTTTGGTTCTGACTTAACAGTTTAGTCAAAAAATTGACTTTATTGGATAACGTCGTCTTCTAAAAAGAGGGCCATATAATAAACAAGTCTTCTGATGACCAGGCGTCGAAGTATTGATGCCCTTGGACAGATACGGGACTAAAAATGCCTCATTCAAGATAACGATTGAATTCCGATACTCTTGTTATTTCTTTGCTGCTCTATAAACCTTAGAATATATTTATGAACATTTATTCGAAGTTTAAAGACTTAAATGGTTGAGATAATCATCATATTGATTTTGTCACTTTACATTATAACAGTATTAATTGTATGTGCCTTTAGTCGAACAAAGCAATAAATATTTTAATATATAATATACAGTATTTATTGATTATTGATTAAATTTATTATATTATTAAATTAATCATTTTTTTAATAAGTTTTAGATAATTAAATTATTTAATTATTTCTTTTAAATATTACAGTATATCAACCCATTTAATAATACGATTTATTATTTTTTTTTTATAACCCTTAGCCAGGCTAGGTATGTGTGCATTGTTAAATGTTTGTATGCTTTACATTTAGAATATTTCACTAAAGCTAAATTTCCATCTAACTTATTTGTCTTTATTTTATAAATTTCTTAAAACTCTAAGTATAACTTTGGGAGTAATTTATTACTCCATTAGTAGTTCAGATAAAAATCCTTCCAGCTGTTAACTTCACAATCTACAAGTTACTACTGCAAAATATTCTATAAAGTTCTGATTAGGCTTAAAACTTTTAAGATTTTTGTCTTCTAAGTATTCTTCCTCTATTAATAGTTCTCTTTTTACTGGAGATATGATTTTCAAGTTGGAAGATATTAAGGTCTCTTGATTTTGTCTTCTCTATGGATTCCCTATATTCATTTTTATTCAATTATTTTCTCATATCGTATATTTCAGATTCTTTTTTGAACTTGTTTACAAACTCTTTTCTGTATTTTTAGTATTTATCTTTTTGCTCCTTTTTCTATCCATTTTTTGTGATATTTTAGATCTATCATTTTTTGAATAAAATCATTTCTTATAAGGTTATCACAAAAGCTTAGGATGTCTTGACTATTTTTTGAAATTTGTTCTACTAGTCCAAAGATCTATTTACCTAGCTTCCTCAATTCTTCACAATTATTTATAATTGGTTTAATGTCTTTTTTTTTAACTTTTTTTTTCTTTCTTGTAAAAGTTTTTTGAAGTCTTTAGGAATTCCATTTATTTATTTCTTCTATATCTTTTATACTTTATTCTTATAGACTAGAAATTTTGGTAAATATTCAATTATTTTATCTTAATGGCTATATACTGTATAATGTATTTTATTTGTTTATATAGATCAGATTTTCTAATAGTCAGTTTGCTTAAGATTGATAATTTATTATCAATCAATTTAATGAGAAGATTTTTCTGCTAAAATTGTTTGAAGAATATATTTTATATACTATATGTTTATATTTTATTTTTTCTCATATTAGATCTCATGACATTATTTTTTTTTTGTTCTGTTTTATTGTATTCATTAATATATAGTTGTTTTGTTGTTAATATTCTTAACAAACTATCTTATTGACTTATTTATTATTATTTTTTATTACTTTATTTTTATAAAAAGAATCTTATATAAGATAATATTTTTTCATTTAATTAATAGAAGTTTTAGAGTTTCTTTAGTTAAAATATCTGTTTCCTTATGATAAGAATCATCCGTATTTTTTTATTTATTTTAAACCTGGCTTATCCCACACTTTCTCCAATATTTTATTAATAAAAGATCATATTTAGCAACAATCGGGATGAATACTTTTCCATACTGTCTAAGAATTTATAAATCATTAGAGAGAAATAAAATAGGAAGCTATCTATTTTTATGACTCGATCTATTTCTAACCTAATCAAGATAAGGAAAATACATGACCGTCTAGTATAAATACTTCTTTTTAAAAACAAAGCAGGGAACTAGTAAGATACACAAGCTGTGCATTGCTTACCCATCCCCATATACAGGAATCGACATTATCTAAAGTATACTAATATATCTATCAATCGGCTTGTTGCTACCCACTATGGGACCTAACATGTCAGAACTCACACAAAAGTCCCAATACCATCCGATATTAGAGATCTCTTGTATTAGTCTTGTGACTAGTCAATGTTAAAAGAAAAAATTAAAATGGAAAGGGAAGGTTGAAAATATTTACAAGAAAATGAAATAGGGGAAGGAATGAAGGAACACCTAACAACTACTCATCCACCCAACTTTGCCTATAAAGGTACTCAATCTATAGCCTTGACACTTTCAGAATTAATGAGAGAGAGGAGATCACAGTCTATGTAATGTTTATCCACCTGCACAACTAGCCAGTGACTTATAATGGACCTAAGGTTCTTATAGAGCTTAGGAAATACATTCACATCCCATGTCACGTGTATCCTTGTTTACATTTCTGCTAACCATGGAACAACCAATCCCAGACTTCAGCCAATCAATCTATCCAAAATCTAGTGTAACAAAAAATTCAGGGTCAAGCTAGGGTAGACAAAATTTTCCAGAAAAATAAAAAAAAACTGCTATATGTTAAGAGAGAAGTCATTTTTGCCTGTGGTATTGATATCTGCCTACTGACTGGTATGAAGTTGTTGGTTCAAACTTCTTTCTAGACTCTGGAACCTCCATAGGGAAGAGAGGGAAGATACTTTTTCATCTGGTTTCTTCTTCCTAGAAAAGTTTTCTTGCTATTAACTTCTTAGGTAGGAGGTTTATAAAGAGGAAAGGTAAACAAGAAGGATATAGTATGACTACTGCCAACTGAAGCAAGTGTTTTTAGGAAAAGTTTTGAAGTTTTGTTACTCTTAAAACATAAAGTTTTGAAGGAATGCTTCTTTGAAAGTGGTAGTCAGGAATCTACAGGAAAGAGTTAATAAGAATTATTAGTATGTATTTTAACTTTAGTAAGCTTTAAATCTATACTCTTCTTTTGAATTAACTTAGTTATTTATACTCAAAAGGATCAGTTTTTTTCTTTTAACTATCTTTTATAAGTTTTTTTGAATCATTTTTTTTAATTATCTTTTATTTAGATATATATATCTAATTATTTATACAAATCACAATAGTACTATTAATAAAAATTATCAAGAGTATATTTATAATTACTATCAATTCTATTCTTGTGAATAAGAACCAATTGTTTATTTCTATTTGAAACTTGCTTTCTCTATCTTCTATTTCTATATAAATTCATGTTGTTCTATTTTTATATCTTCTCTTTCATGGTTAATAAGTGATCTATCAAAATAAAAAATTGATTTTTCTTTAGATTCTAGATCGTACTGAAATATATCTATTAGATGATTTTGATATACTTCTTTTTTAATATTTTTCTTAATAATAGTTTCTTCTCAAGTTTCTATATCTATATGATCTGAAACTCTTCCCGCTAATCCTCTGACCATATACAAAAAAGATGTTTGCAGAAGTCTTGTCACTTCTATGCTAATAAAGTTTTAATACTTTCTTTAAATCAATCTGAAGGGGCTTCCTTCAGGACTCCACTATTTCCCCCCATATTGTCTACAATCTCCTACGAACAATACTGGACTCTTGTGGCCTGCAAAGTCCAGCACTCACCTTGACTACCAATGGCAAGAAAGTTCCTCAAGGAAGAAGGACCAATAGCAAAGTACCTGCCACCTATCAGATGAAGTGGAAAAATAAAACAGTACCTGAGAGAGGGTTTCTCCCATACAAAGGACTCATTTTCCACCCTTTGAATAGCTGTGTGTCCTCTTAGAGCTACCACTTTTCACAGCTTTTTGGGGAATTTTGCCTATCCCAGCTTGATCCTGAAATTTCAGGTAGCATAAATTCCATTGATTCTGATTGATCAACATGAAACGCATTGGACAAGATTGATAAACAAGCTCTCATTGGTCACTTCATATGTCTGGATGTATTTCCTCAGCTCCATAAGAACCTGGGATCCACCATAAGTTATGTGCTGGTGCAGATGGATACAGGACACTCAATCTCCTAAATCATTGGCTATCAAGGAAGAATAAACAAGTCCACGGACTGTTCGCCCTATGGACTACATACAAAGATGGACCCGACCACCCACAAAAACACAAGGACCACACAAAACAGTTTTTCAATAGATGGGTAACAGGAATTCTATGACACAAAACCACACCCCAGTCAAGACACAGGACAGATTCATATTTTTTTTTTTTTTTCAATGCTAACAAGGTCTTCAGACCTTATATAAGAAATCCTCAACACCAGTGGTACTGAGTATCTTAGGCAAGTTCTTGGTATGTTAGTTCCTCCCAAAAAGATAGCAACAAGCCATCCTGTGGTATCCCGTAGGAAGAATCAGTTTGTGATGAGGGAGTACAATTTGTAATCCATTATTTTAATAGCATATATTCACCTCCTTTCAACTTTGTTAAGGGTTAAGAGAAATTCTACACTAGATGGTAATATAGTTCCCCTATCCTAATTGGGTGAGATGTAAATAGATGTCCCTTGTACTATTCATTGATCTATAAATCCTTAGACAGTACGGGTAACTAGTAATCCCGGTTGTTCTTAGAATGTATCTTAATAATTAATAAAAGTACCAACCTGATACAAGGATGAGCTAGCATTAAAAAAAAAATATATATATATATATATAATCTATTTTATTATTTTGAGAAGATATTTTAAGGAAATCTTAATTAATACAGATCAGACTTTAAATTGCTTTTTTAGGATAATCTGGAAATTTAAAATTATCATTTTTTATATTC